TTAAAATTTTATTTAAAAAACTAAATTATTTTATTCAAACAAACAAAAAAAAATTAGATGTTAAAAGTTGTCATTAGATTTTCTGATATTTTAAATACAATAACATTTGGATTTTTCCATTGCCCTTTTGTCTTTTGCTTTAATTTGGTATATTAATAAGAAATCAGAAATCATCACGCATTTTCTCTGATACCAATCCAAACATTCTCTCTCAAAAAAAATTCTTCCATCTCCTACTAGCTATCCACCATCCGGAGCCTCTCTCTTTCGCATCATCTTCTTGGGTTACTCTTCCATCTATGTAGTTAATTTTTCCAGCAAATTAATGTCTCCCCACCTGCATGTTTTCAGCTTTGAGCATTAAAAAGTCAGCTAAAAGCGAAGGTACGCTTCTTAATCCCCAGCTATAGTTATTTTCCAAGCCCTGTAACTATAGTATTTTTACTCATATTTCATTTTACGTATGTTTTCTTTGGCTCTTTTTTTTTAACTTCTGATGTTTTTTCATTTTTCAGATCGTTATTTGGCATCCTCTTCTTACGTTACGTACTCTTCCATCTTTGTAGTTAATTTCCAGCAAATTTGTCCACCCTCGCGCTCCTCAGTTTTGAGCATTGACAAGGTACGCTAGTCGTAATACCCAGCTATAGATATAGCTACCTACATTATTTTTACTCAAAAGTCATTTTACCGGATTTTTTCTTTGGCCTTTTTCCATCTTTTCGTGGATATATATGTAATTAAGTATAACTTCAAATCGTTACTTCATTGTGTGTGTGTCTGTGTTTTTTCTTCATTTTACGTTGAATAATCACTATACACATATACTATTATATTAAACATAACAGAGATAATATTAGGTAATTTAATTAGTATTGTTTAAATATATTTTTATTTAAAAATATTTTAATTATTAATTGTCTTTTAATTCATTACATCTATTTATTCTTAATTAAATTATGTCTTTAACTAATAAAATGATGATTATAATGATGAATATCTTATAAAATTTAAAAAAATCCCATTAGAAAAACTTGGACATGTAACAAAAATGAAAATTTTCAAAGCTAAAAATGCTTTGTGTGTGGACGCTAAGTAGCGGCACTCTTGTTTATTTCATCCTACACCCATATATTTTCCAAAGCCTTAAGGCATAGTGTCCACACGTAACAGATAGCGTCGACACCAAACCCGCGTCGGGCTGATATCAGACTTCTGCTAAGTCCTACTTGCTACTGTTATTAATAGTCATCATTACTTGATAATTCTGATGTAGTAAAAGTATCCCAAAGGTATTATAATGGAAGGATTCAAGATGCTCAGACAACAGAATTAGATAATCATAAATCAAATGATAAAAGATTATAAACTCATGCTCTAAAACTTTAACTCAAGTTCAGTTTGATTTTGATTAATTAGTTTACAAATTCTCATAAATAATATTAAAACTTTAATTTTTTTAATTTGAATTGATATATCCTATTTTTTAATTTTATTTATTTTAAGAGAACAATAAAAATTAAAATATCAAGAAATATAAACAAAATTATTTAAATATATTTAATAAATTTTTTTATCAACATCTTTAATATTTTAATTCGACAATCCTTTCTCTTAATCACCCAAAACCATTAATTGGACATCCCAAATTGCAACGGGGGATGGAAGAAGAAGTCAGGACCAGTGTAATGTTATGCACCTTTCCTAGGGGCCTGAGTCCAAGTAGCAGCCCACATGTGAATGGTTTGGGGCTTTGTTGCAAATAGGGCCCAACAAAAGGTTTTACCTACGCCGGCCTGATCAGGTGAATTTGGAGTCTTTTGTCCTGGAGTGGATCAGGGATGAGTCTGTATCAGCTGGCTATTACTCTGCATGGTAGTTGTGAACTGTACCGATGTTTTGCCCTCAGGAAACGAGTCCTATCAAGCAAAATAAAGATTTTTTTTTTTTTGACAAAAAGAAAAAACCAGAGATGCCTCAGGGAACCGGACCTCCAAATGAATGCAAATGGGATCTTTCAAGTAGAACGAAGAAACTTTTATAGGTACTATGAAATTAAAGAAGTTATGACCAAGAAAAAAAAAAAACTCATGAAATTAGATGGAAAAAACCAGGAGGTAAGAGATTGCATATCTTCTCTATTATTGCATACCACATTGCCTGCAATTATTGTCTTTCTTTTTCCTTGCGGATGGGACCTTAAATTCCAAATGAAGGGAAGAGAATTCTACTTGCTAAGAGAGAATACAAGTAAATAGAAGAAGATAGAGAAACAAAAAAGACAAAGAAAAAAAGAAGGAAAGAAGCAAGCACCTTCGCAGCTTCTCTTTTTTCCAGGAAAAAAAAAGATATTAGAGCCAACATGGGCATTCCTCTATTGATATTATTGATATTTAAATACAATTTAATTTAAAATTAATTATTAAAAAATACAATAAAAAAAGGTTAAAACCCCTTTTTGGTCTCCGAACTATTGTACGGACCCTTGATTTAATCCTTAAAGTAAGAAAATCCCTGATTTAGTCCCTATTGTTTACTCATTTTACCCCAACTTGGTTCTTCCGTTAAAAATTGTTCATTAACTCACAGACATATCAAAAATTTAAGACACATCAGTCGTACAACCGGATAAATGATGACATGGTCATACCCAACACAAAAACAAAAGTGGGACCCACCTAATTACAATTTTGCATCATCTTCTTCCTCCAACATCTTCTTTCTCAAATCTTCCTTCATTCAGACAATCAATTCAATCAAACAATTAAACAATCAATTCAATATCAAACCCAACAGGTGCCCTTTCTTTTTCCTTCCTCTTCCTTGCCTTGCCTTCTTCATCAATCAATTCTTCATCTTAATCAAAAAACCAAACCCACAAAAAAAAAAAAAAAAAAACAAAAAGATTTTTACCCCTGGATTTGAACAAACTCAGCTCTTGGGTTCTCGAAGGAACCTAGTGCCTGGGTTCGAGAAGAAACCCAGCACCTGGGTTCGAGAAGAAACCCAGCACCTGGGTTCGAATGAAACCCAGGTGCCTAGGTTCTCAAAGGACTGGGTTCTCGAAGGACTAGGTTCTCGAAGAAACCCAAGCGCTTGGGTTCGAGAAGAAACGCAGCACCTAGGTTATTTCGAGAACCCAACGCCTGGGTTCTTCCCAAGGCCTAGGTTCGAGAAGAAACCCAACGCCTGGGTTCTTCCCAAGGCCTGGGTTCCAACGAACCCAACGCTTGGGTTCTCGAAGGAACCCAGCCGCCTGGGTTCAAGAAGAAACCCAGCACCTGGGTTCTTGAAAGAACCCAACGCCTGGGTTCTTCCCAAGGCCTGGGTTCCAACGAACCCAGCGCTTGGGTTCCAACGAACCCAGCGCTTGGGTTCCAACGAACCCAGCGCTTGGGTTCTTGAAGGAACCCAGGCACTTGGGTTCAAGAAGGAACTCAGCACCTGGGTTCGAGAAGGAATCCAGTGGAGATTGCTGGTACAATTTGCCCTCTACTCTTCTAGGGTTCAAAGGGGAAGAAGGGGGAGAAGATAGTGAGTTTGGGGGGCAAGAAGTGGGCCCCACAATTTTTTTTTTTTGTTGGCCCAGAATCTGACGTGTTTTATGACATGACCATGTGTACAATTGACGTGCCATAATATTTTGACATGTCATCATACTCGATTAATTAATGGGACACGTCACTATATTTTTAACGGAAGGATTAAGTTGGGGTAAAATGGGTAAACAGTAAGGACCAAATCAGGGATTTTTTTAGTTTAAAAACTAAATTGGGAGTTTGTATAATAGTTCAGGGACCAAAAAGGGGTTTTAATCAAAAAAAAAAAAAGATAAATATTTCCTGTTTAAGAAAAACACCGAATCTCTCCATTACCGATTCTCTTTGGAAGTTGGATAGCATATAAGACTTTTCCTCCAATGTACCCATAAAAAAAAATGAGTAGAAGACTTTTTAGCATATAAAATATGTCTTGAAGTCACATAAAATTTATTTTAGTGATGTATGAAGTATTCAATTTTTTTTTTTGCCATTGCACTCAATTTAATTTAAATATTACATTTGTTAATGTTTATAATGCACCATATAAATAGGTAATTGTCTAATTGAGATATATTTTCACATGTTTATTTAAAATGAAGAACGTAATGTTTCCTTATTTTTAAAAAAAGTGTAGTGTAGTGTATTGTGCCAAAGTAAGCAACTTAAATTATGATATTAATAAGTTTTTCAATACTCATTATGTTTATTTTTAATAAATTTAATTTAATTTTTTAATTTTTTTATATATAAATTTTAAATAAAAATTTAATAATTTATATGAGTAATAATTGAGAATTTTTTTTCTACATGAAGGCTTTATTAAATACTTTTATTTGATAAAAAAATGTTTAATTGTTATTTATAAAATATAATAAATTTTTAGTTAAAATTTATGTTTACAAAATTAAAAAATAAAAATAAATCTATTAAAAATAAATGAAAAAAATATTCGAAGTTATCTCTCATTTATTGATTT